GATTTCCCCAAGTGGGAGATCATCTACAATAAGATCAGTCTATAACCAGTGAATCTATGAGCTCTTCTGTACCTCACAGACTTTACATTCCCTCTCCGCTCCAGAAGAACTATCACTTTGCTTTGTTTCAGCAGTGTCCAGACTGTTAGGGCGTGTTCTGTTAAAATACAGAGAATTGTACTGGGACAATTTGTCACGGCAGATTAACTCTAAAAAGTAAGGTTTTGTTCAGGAGGCATGAAATAAAGTACATAGAGGTCATTCATATTACTTACGGCCTTAGTATTCATTTATTCATTAATATTCTTTTTAGCACATAAATTCGAACGTAAAACATTGAATTTTCTGCTGTAAGCTATAATTTTGTCAGTCTTGTGGCAGTAACCAACGTTTCGGAAGGGAGGATCGCCTCCATCTTTAGTATTCGAAAACTACAAGACTACACGAGATCACAAATAGGAAGATCACAATCCGTTTCTTTATCGCCCCATGAACCTCAAAAGGAATCTCAAATCTTAGATATTATTTCTATCATCTGGTGAAGGACACAAATTATCTTCCTCCTTCCTTCATCAAACCTAACCGTAAATCTGGCTTCATGCGGCTCAAACGACGGACAGAACGGTCCAAGGGTTCTGCAGACTTCTTATGGCATTTGATGTTGTGTTGGCTGCAGACAAGGCTGACAAGGGAGTGGAGGATACAACAAATGAGACGGTGAATAATGTAGAGTAGCAGAGCTAACAACAACTAAGATAAATGGGCTCGGAATGCGACAGTGTATCCATATCTGCTGGGTGCATATTACATGTCTTATGCAGTATGGTGACTCCTAGATGACAGTATGGCATTTTAGGGACCAAGAAGCGAAAATCAGACGTGAATCATGTAGACTTCAGCAAACATTACACATGAAGATCTCTGTCTTCTGGGTTGTTGCTCTGTGTAGTCTGGTCGATGATAACCCACGTTTCAGAAATCATATTGCCTCCGTCATCAGGGTGATTGAGGCAGTATGACCTCTGAAACGTTGGTTAACATCGACCAGACTATACAGCGCAACAACCCAGAAGACAGAAATCTTCATACTCA